GCTGGGGGATTGAACCTCGGTCCCTGTGCTTTGCCAAGCCTGCTCTAAGTAGGTGCTTTAGACCACTGAGCCATCTCACCAGCCCCTCATCTAACTCTTGATTTGAAGTCAGAGAGAGAGAGAGAGAATATGAATTAGTTTACACTGGAAATTGAACCCAGAGCTTTGCGGGCTAGGCAAGCCTGTCACTGAGCTATATTCCTAGAACTTTCTATTTTATTTAGTGCCTGGATCTCCCTGAGTTGCCAAGCTTGCCTCAGCCTTCTCGTCGTCCTGCCTCAGCCTTCTGAGTAGCCAGGATTACAGGCCTGCATCCCCATGTCTAATTTTTAATCATTGCATTTTAGATCAGAACACTACTGTGTTGTTTTGTTTTGACTTGAAGCGATCACAGGGCAATGTGTAACAGTATAGCACCTCTACGTATTTGTAGTACAATATGCCTGAAGCTTTTCTCCATTTGTTAACTGGTTCACAGACTTTACTTACTGTTGCAGATAGGAGATTGTTGGGGTACTGACTGCTGTTTTCAGTGGTAACCAAGAACACTTTTCATTTCTGAGTTTCTAAAACTAGAAGTAAAACACAATTGTAAGTTTCCTTTTCTCTTCTTCCTCTACATCTTCCCCACTTCCCCTTTAAAGTCGCCATTTTGGAGATGCTCCTTCCTTGCCAGGCAGCTTCTCATTGAAGTGTCACTTTCCAGCCTTGGAAATTGAGATTTTTATCCTCTTTTTACAGTTGTCCAGACCTGAGTTTTGAAAGGGAGTGAGAATGGAAATATGGCTCTTTATTTATAACATATGTACAGTGTTTTCTACTCTTGATAGTAAATTGAATATCTACGTGGTATTTTAGAACTTGAATTCCTACACTGGCAGCTTTAGGTAAACTCATGGTTCGCCAGTTTTCAGAGTAGAATATATCAGATGACAAATACCTTTATAAACATGTTTAAAGATACATCTGACTTTGTTTTCTACATTAACTTTTGGCAACACAGTATTTTAAGTTTCATAACACAGTATTTTTATATAATATAATATCCATTTTCTCTTGGCCATTAGGGAGGGTGTGTGTGTGTATGTGTGTGTGTGCGCGTGCGTGCGTGTTTGAACACTTAGCTATAAATTGTTGATTGTATTTTTTCAGGTATAGTAGTGTTAAAAATGTATAATGACATCTTACAGTGCTAAAACTTTGGGATGTTGTCATACAAAAATATTTTGGAGGCCTTTTTTTTTTTTCTTTTTGAGACAGTCTTGCTGTGTAGTTCAGGCTGGCTTTGAACTCACTGTGTAGCCCAGGCTGGCCTGAAGCTTGAGGATCAGTTCTCCTTCCTCAGTTCCCTGAGTGCTGGGCATGCCCAGCTATTTCTTTGGAGTTTTGTACCTAACATTACTTTTGTGTACCATATAGTAGGATTTCATGTTATAATAATGGTGGTGGTATTTAGCCTGAAATAGTTTTTAAGATGCTGTGTCTGCAGTATTGCTCTAATAACTATGAATATAAAGTGAGTTTTTTTCTTGATTTTAAGCCAGTGAATGACTGAGATTTGACTCATCGATGGTTGGCTTGTGGTATTACTTAATAATATTACTGACTTCTGTCAGCAAGAAGCCAAACTGGAGTCATTACCTTAGCAACATTACTGGCTTTGGCTGTATTTCAGGACATTTTGTTGTGCCACACTTAATTCTGTTTGAATTCTTTTTCTGGGAAAATGTAATTCACTTATTTCTTTGCGTAGCATGTACTTAACTTTGTCATAATATATTTTTCCCTTAAGAAGCAAGCTGCAGTCAGACCATTTTAAATTAGGTTAAAACCTTTGAGTAGAAAGAAGTGACACTTGACAATCTGATAATCTTGAATCAGAAAAATTGACTCTGGGAGGAAATATAGGTGATTTCTTAAATTGGTTTTTTTTTTGCTCCCCTATGTTTACGAGAGGGGGTGGAAATGTAATTTTCACATGCTCAGTAGTAAGTTATGGTGGTTAAGGGAATATGCTTAACCAATTAATAACTTGTTTTTTATTGTCTGTCCTGAAGAATGCTGCCACCCTTCACATAGTCCTGAAGCCAGAGAGTTGGAAACTACTCTGTTGTGCTTTTGTTTCCAGTTGACCATTAGGTAGGTCCTGTAGATTTTCTTCATTAAGTTCTCCTGGGTCTATCCTGTTTTGTTATTTCTGTCCTGCTTGTCACATCCTGACACATACACACTCACTGTCTAAAGTTAGGATTTGGGGGATGTTGACATGTTCTTTATCTTTTACCTGGATGACACTCAGTCTAGATTGTTACATGTGGTTGGTCGCAGGGCTTTAATTCTTCTACCCCAAACCAGCCTTCAGATTGTTGCTGTACTTCCCCAGATATAAATTTTATCCTGGAATTTACTCCCCACAAATCCATCAGTGGTTTTCCACTGTGTTCAGGGTGAAGTCTATGGCTTCACTGTTTTTTAATCTGAAGGTTGCTTTCTACCTGCATGCTATGAACTCAGTAAGCTGTGACTAGTATTTTATGTTTTTATGTGTAGTAAGGGTATTCAAGTATTTATGTGTGTACCAATATCTCAAAATTTACTTTTTAGAGTTGATTGTGGTCAAGAGTTTGGCATATATTACACCATTCTTTCATATACAAGGATTCTAGTCATTTTTGCTTAAACATATTTTCTCTGCCTGCTTTCATACCTTTGTTTATTTTTCTTTTGGTCAGAAGAGCCTCTGATTTTCTTCTAGCTAACTCACAGGCTTCCTTGTCTCTGGGAATCTTTTTCTGATGACAATCTAACATAAGGAATAAGGTGGATAGAATGCATTCCAATACACAGTGTCTGGAAAAAATTCTGCAAACTCACCCTTTTACTATATGACATGCATTCCCTTGCCTTCTTGGCATGTCTTACATAGCACTGGTCTTGTTCTAGTAACTGGCCTATGTCTCTGAGGATAATCTCTTTTTCATCTATACACTATGCCAAAGAGTAATATATAGTTAGTAAGTGTTGGTTGGATTAATAAAGTAGTGAATTGGTATATTTTATATAAAATTCCTTACAGTACAGCAGTCCCTCACTTACCCTGGAGATTGCACTCCAGACACCCCGTGAGAAGTGAAAATCAGTGAAGTTGTGACATTATATTTATTTTAGTATTTATATGTAAAGGTTTTATAAACTCTTCCCACACTATTATAAACCTTTCCCACACTTTTAAAAACACTTTTAGTGTTTTTAGCCATTTTCTAATAACTCATAAACCTATGTAATTTTAACAACATGCATATGCTGTATGGTACTGCAGAATTCTACAATATAGCGAGAAACCTGTGATAAATAATTTAGATTAATATTTTTTGAAAACCTGCACAACAGTGAGTCCATGAAAGTCGAACTGCAAAATAGTGAGGAACTACTGTGTTATTGTTTCATTGGTACTGTACTGTAGAAATTACAGTACAAACTCTTAGTGATTTAAATAGGGCCACAGAGATAGCTCAGTGGTCTAAGCACCTGCAGGCAAGCGCAAGGGCCCCTGATTTGATCCCTGGTACCATTGCCTGCCAGCCACCCAGACCAGGCGTGGTGATACATGCCTGTAATCCCAGCACTGCAGAGGCTGAAACAGGAAGAGAACCATGAGTCCGAGCTACGAAGCGAGACCCTGTACCAAATACATAAAATTGTAGGGTAGCTTTTTATCTTAAAGCACTTTAGACTGAGATCGCATTTTGGGGAATTGGCACACACATAGCACTTCTTGATTATTTTTTGTGTCTTTACTCCTCCTCTCTCCTCTTCCCACTTTCTCTGCTATGTGTTCTCATCTTTAAAATAATCTGCCTTCCTGTTTTCTGCCATCTCCTTTATTCTGAACTTTAACGTACTTATGTTTTGTATTTGTCACACAAGAGAAACAGTGGAATATTTATGTTTCTGTACCTGACTTCCTTCACTTAACATTGTGGTCTCAGGATGCATGCATTTTCCCGCAGGTAACCTCAACTTGTTTTTCTCTATGCTTGAATACAGTTCCACTGTGTGTAGTCTACATTTTCTCTATCCCTTCATCTGTTGACGGGCATCTAGGCAAATAGAAGTTTGAAGCTTCTGTTTCAAATTTTATTTTCTGTTTATCAATTGTAATTGAGTACTTCTAACCTCACATCTTGATAGACATTACCTTGCATGTGTCACATTAATGATCTCAGAATCTATTGCAACCTTCAGATTTGTGGTCAGAGATGTTTATTTATATAGATGCTGGATGCATAATGTTTGTCTGATCTTATGGGAATTGGATGATTTCAAAAGAGAACCTTCATGTGTAATGGTAGTCAGATTCTGGGGCGATGGATAGGATACTAAAACACAGACTCAGGTGCTGAATCATCTTTTTCTGAATTTAAAATATGTGTAATTGATGTTTTCATAGTTACAATGTTTAGCTGTTTATAGTTTTTATGTTTGTAAGAGAACATGTTAAATCATTAATAGGTTCTCATGGAGAACTCTTACTGAAGAGAGGTCCATTTGGTGAGATGTAATTTAATAAAGAGGGAATCGAGATAAGACCTCTAAATGCAAGAACCAGAAAAATCACAGCATATCTTGGTGAAGTTGCAATTGGTAAGTTTGTATTTGATTTCACTTGGGATTATATTTGAGGTTTATGTGTCTCAGGATCCTTGAAGTGTAATGTTTAGATGCTATTGTTCTTGTTTTTTTTTTTTTTTTTTTTTTTTTTTTTTTTTTTTTTTCTGGCGCAACCAGGGATTGAATTTAGGATCTTGTGCTTGCCAGGGAAGCGCTTATTCTACTGAGCCATCTCCTCAGCCCCTAGATGCTATTGTTAATAAATGAGCTAATTTATGTTTTTTATATTCATTTTAACTAAAAATTTTTAAGTAAGCCATTTTTTTCAGAAGCAAAAATAATGTGTAAGTAATACAAATTTTACAAATATTTTTTAATTGTAAATATTACATAGTTTTGTAGGATATCTTTTCTGCATGGCATTTTTTTTTTTTTTAAATGTATTCAGTACAGGTCTCACTATGCAGCTCAAACTGTTTTCAGCCTCCCTGGTGCTGGGATTATAGGTGTGTGCTACCACGCCCGGACTGGGTTGCTGGTTCAGCACACCCGTGGACAGGACCAGCACAGCATGTGGTGCCAGCCAGGGATTGAACCCTGGTCCCTGTGCTTGCCTAAGTAGGCGCTTAGTCTGATGTACATGGCATTTTAACAAGTTTTTAAAGCATCTCATATATAATGACAAAGAGAAACTCAAATTATACCTTTTGTTTGTAGGGTTATCAGTGTTCCTTGGTCTGTTTTTGCTTTTCAGCTGGTTAAAAAGAGTATAGAATCATGTGTATTTATGGATCCACTTAGACATAAATACATAAATAAAATATAAATCTCCACTATTTTCATGCATCAGTCCAGGGATGAACACCATTAACAATTTGTTTGTTATGTTTTCAGACTTTTTTTTCATGTATATGAAAAAATTACTTTTATATGACTATTTATTTATTTATTGGCGGAACCAGTGATTGAACTCAGCCCCTTGCGCTTGCCAGGGAAGCGCTTATTCTACTGAGCCATCTCCCCAGCCCTGTATTACTTTTTTTCTAACAAGATATGTTATACAGACCATTCTGTACCTTGCTTCCCTCCAACATGTAATTTTGAAATGTGAAGTTTCAAAATATGTAAGTAATATGTACTTTGGAAGTCAGTGTTGTAGTGTTAACATCTGAGTACCCATCATGTAAATTTTATAACTAATATTTTACTGACCTTTGTGACATACTGGTCTTTCTTTATCCATCCATCAACTTTATAATTATTTTTGAATATTTTGCAGAGTGAGTTGCAGATTCCAGCACATTGCTACAAAACACAAATGCGTGTGTGTATGCATGCACACACCACACACATACACGCCACCTTCAGTATGCATATCATTAACAGAAGTTCAGTGTTGGCTTACAGATTTTTAGGTTGTTTACATGCCACAAAATGTACCAATCTTGATCGTATGCTTCCTGTGTTCTTACAAAATTGCACACTTTTTTTTCTGACATCAATGCCGTGAAATTTATTTATTCATTTATTTTTTTATTAATTTTATTGAGAAGCAAATAGCAATGAGACAGTTTCAAAACCAATTAGTAGGACAGTTTCAGTAATTAATACATTACATATTGTTGTCTTTGTGGTGGTTATTCATAGTACAAGATGCAGACACTGAGACCAGGGAGATGGCTCAGTAGAATAAGCGCTTCCCTGGCAAATACAAGGGCCTGAGTTCGATCCTGGGTTCCGCCAAAAAAAAAAAAAAAAAGAGATGCAGACATAATATCCTTTCCAAACACACTTAGTACAAATCTTTCTTCTCATTGAGTTAAGAGAAAGTAGCTGTATACCTATCCTAACTTTTTTGTATATACAGATACAAAATGGTCCTTCATTTGTGTCCCCTTTTTTTGTTTAGTTTTGTCAGAGATGGGTATTTCATTGCCATTTAAATATTGTACGTGCGTGAATTCAGCAAAATAATCCAATATAGTCCAGTGGTCCATAATAGTCGTGGGTTATCCACAGGACTGGCAATGTCAGAAGGTGTTGACTTGAGCCTTTGACGGCGCAGCATAGTAATATGGCTTTACTTTTTATACCTTGTTTTTATATTTCAGCTCCGAATCAAGATATAGATCTTTGTTAGTGCCACAGTACGTTCCTTCATTGTACCTTCTGAGCCTGTCTCTGTCCCCTCTCTCTCGAATGCCACTAAGATTTTTGCCCTGGGACTTATTTTATTCACTCAGTAGTGCATTATAGGTTAATCATTATGAGATCTGCCTCCCTTTTTTGCATTGTCTTCTTTTTCTTCCCAAATTGCAGTAACTTGTAAATTGTCTGTACTATCAATATATTAGAACTTAATCATTGCCCTCTTCCACATGAACTTTTAAATTGTGTCATAATCCTCTGATTACAAAAAAATGCTGTATCCTTGTATATTCTTGTATGTGTATATATTTTAATACTCTCCTGACTACTTCTGTAGGTATTACTAAAAATAAAATTGCTGAACAAAAAGGTTTTACCTTCCGCACATGGTTCTATTGGTTTATATATCCATTGGTAATATATGAGGACCTTTTCTCTTTCCTCTCTCAGCAGTATATATTGTCCTTCTCTTTGAAGTTTTTCAGTATAGTGGATAAAAAACATATCCAGTTATTTCACATTTTCCTAATCAGTAATGATTAGACATTTTTTTTTTCCTATTTGTGAATTGCTTCTGTGTATATCTACTTTTGTGTGTCTCCTGTAAGTCATGTGTTCTTCTATTTTTTCCCAAGAGTTTTTTCTTTTAACATTGTTTTTGGTGGTTCTGGGCTTAGAGATTGTAGTTGTTATGTGATCAGACATGGCTTTAGGGCTCTTGGTTGTCAAGTCATCCTCCTCCCAGGTTTTAGAACCAATTGCTATTTGTTCTAGTAGTTTTGCTTCCTATTGAAACTTAGAAGGTGAAGAAATACCTGTGAATTAAGGTTTCAAGAAAAATATATGGTTACTTTCTTTTAATTCAATGAGAAGAACAATTTATACTAATAGTATTTGGACAAGATATCATGGCTGCATCTTGTACTGTGAATAACTGCTACGAAGACAACAATATGCAATGTATTAATTATTGTAACTGTCCTACTAACCTGTTTTGAAACTGTTTCATTGCTATTTGTTTCTCAATAAAATTAATTGAAAAAAATTTAATTAAAAAAAGAAAAATTTCATATGGTGAGTGAGATTCACATTGGTCTTGACTTATGAGGTGAATTTATATAGAATAAGCAGAGCAGTAGGTACATGTCAGATAGCAATGAAGGATAGAATGTTTTTTAATATTTATTGAACAATAATAAAGCTACACTGGTTAAGGTAGAGTATCATATAAAACCAAGCTTAGAAACACACATTTGGCTAGATATCTTGCTAATTATTTTGTTCTAATTCTTATGTTCTAAAATTTGTATTGTGATGTTACAGTTTTCTATCATGTAAGAGTTCTCTGTTATTTTTATTTCATAGTGACTTGAGTATTCTTCCTGAAAAAAAATATGGTAAGATGTAGTTGCCTGAGAAGGAGAAAAGGAAAGGTTGTATGTCATGAGAATAATTTGGTCATCACACAGACTTACTCAGTGTAGTTTATTAGACTTGAATTATAATTTATTTAAAAATAGTTTGTGCTGTAGTAATTTATGTAATAAATGAAGTTAGTCACTGCACTCGAGTGTAGTTACCAGTTGGCAATCTTAAAAAATGTTGAAGTACCGGCACATCTACTAATCACATCAAAGACTGAATTATGAGCACACCACTTAATATATAAATTAATGAGTTGGAATCTCTAGCCAATGAAAGTATTTTATAAATGCCTCCCTTAAGATGAAACAGCAGCACGGTTCAGTGTGGCTGCTGCTCAGGATGTGTAATAGTTTCTGCTCAGCCATAAGCTGTGCCTGGGAGCCGACTAGATACTAGCTGAGTGCAGCGATCCTGGCTCCTGTAGCAGTTACAAATTCATGATTGTAATCTGCCTCAGAGCTCATGGAAGACCACTGCTTTATATCTACAACCCAGGTGCAAAGATTGTGTGGCGTTAAGTTTTACTGATCAGGTACTTATTTTAAACGTTCAAAATCTTACTTGTTTGTTGTTTTATTATTATTACTATTATTATTTTTAACGTTATGCTTTTCCTTGAGTATGCCTGTTCTTTTATAGCTTGTCATATCTGTATGATCGTATTCAGGAAAACTAGGCATATTTTAAATGATATTTTATACTGTGTAATATTTTCTTTTGTAAGGGATCTCTTAGTGATAAAAAGAGGGAAGAGAGTTAAAAAACTGAACATTTGATGGATATCCTACTTATTTTACTGGATTATATGCTCTTTTGTTTTTAATGTTATTAAAATGTACCGTACCCTGTTTAATGATTGGAATTCATACTTTATTTTTTTTAGTACCAAATAGATCCAAAACATTAAAAAGAAAGTACATGAAATTAATAATAGTGAACATGTTTTGTCATTTCTTTTTGCATTTGATAATTGGCAAGCCTTTAAAAAATTATCATTCTTTGTAACGTTTCTCTTTATGATATATATATATATATATATATATATATATATATATATATGTCATGTTTTGTGTTTGAGCTGCTCTAGTTTTAAAAATAATACCTAGCAAATTATATAGCATGCTTTATCCTCTCTGACTTTTCTCACTTTAATGATACTGATCTGTCTTTTAATTAATCGAAAGGTGATAAAGTTCAGCTTTTACTTTTGAAAGCCCTGGCCCTACTCCTATTTTAGATTTCTGATATGTATAAGTACTAATTTGGGCTATATCTGGCTTAAATCAGTGGGTGATAGTACATTTGAGTTGTTCTTTGTCCTTCTTCTCTTCCCTCTTCCCTCTTTCTATTTGCTTCCTTCTCCCTTCTCCTCCTTCTGTTGCCCCATGAGCTATTTCTAGGAATGTGAAGAAGGGCATTTCTTTAAAATTAACTGTTAATGTTCCTTTCTTTCTTTGTTTCAATGGCTTTATGGCTTTGGTGAGCATTGGCAAGGCCTTTAAGGGATGGTACCATGGGGCTCTTGAAAATAAATTATTCTTAGAATCATCTAGGGTGTGAGTTGGAAATCTAGGAGTCATTCTCCACTTTCCTATAACTCCTAGCATAAATCAATTAAACTGACTGGTTTGATTCTATTTCTTTTGTTCCCTTTTCTAAAACGCACTTTGGTTTTTGTATTTTCTTAAGCTGTCTTTCTCTACACCAGAGCTCCAGTAATTTACTGAGAGTGCAAATCTTCTCATGTTAATAATCTCTTGCTTTGATAGCCTTCTCATAAGAATGAATTCAGCATTCCAAATGGTACATCTTATGTCCTCCATGATGTAGTCCCTTATTTCTGCCCAGTCACTACTCACAGAAAGACTTATGACTTTCGATGTCAGTTTGCATACTTAGTTTTCCTCTGCCCAAATCCACAACTTGGCCACAAACTTGGAACTTAGCATATTATACTAAAGGCTTTTTAAATGATTTTTTCTTGCTAGAATGTTTGTTTTTTTAAGTAAAGACTGTTTTATTCACATTTGTATCTAGCAAGTGACTTGCATCTCATGGCGGCTTGGAACTCAGATAATTCAGTGCTGTAGCACTGGTGTCTGCATGGTACTCCTCAGTGGCTCCTAATTAACCAGCCTCTGCTTCAGCGCCTGCAGAGCATTTAAAGGGATTGCTTGGCTTGGGGCATTATAGAGAATTCACTGGATCTGGGATGGTGTCTGCAACTGTGTATATTTTGAAACCTCCTTAGTAAACTCTAATTTTCTTGCTGGTATGAAAATCATCTTTATTATTATACCTTAATTTTATGTAAAAGATGCTCCCTAGACTATATGAATGTTGTGTCAGCTTTTAAAGTTGTATTTTTTAAAGTATGGGTATATTTTTAAAGTCACTTTATTCATATCATATGCATAGAAATACCTTAATTCCTTGTCTTACTTGGGGATCTGTTGGTGAGTTGTTAGTGCTGAACTGAAAAAAAAATTTTGATTTCCTGAGTTGAAAGTAATGAGATCAGTTGGGCTTTATCCATGAATTTTAATATGTTTAGCCATTTTTACTTTGCAAAATCAACTTTGGAGTATTATTTAAAATTAAAGCATGCAAGTATGAAGTATACAGCCCAGTGCAGGCGTGTGCGTACATCTTCAAAGCATGGTCCAGCTCGTGGTACAGAGTGTTGCTGGCTTCTTAAGGTTTCTTCAAGGTCCTTTTCAGTTAAAACAAGCTTTTTCCACTCCAAGGTACCATGGTTTTGACTTGTGTGACCATCAGTTAGTCTTACGGTTAAAGCTACCAAAATTTTTGCAAATCTTTTGATGAATATATATACTCATGTCCCTTGAATATACCATGGAGTTGGTGGGTTAAGGACAAAAGTATTTTAACTTTAGCAGATGATGCCAGTTTGTGCCTTTAATATCAATTTATAGGGAGAAATTAGAAGCTTGGAGTGAAATTTGAGTATTCTGAAGTTTCTGTTTGTTTTCCTGTGTTTATTGTCAAAAGAATATTTACAAAGAAAATGTATCCTGTAGTTTACAGAAATGCAGTCAAATAGACTTTTCTATGTTAGTAATTTTTTTCTTTTTTCTTCCTTAGGGTTCTCTTTCCTGTGTGTTTTCCAGGCAGTTATAGGACTGTAAAATGGGTCTCCGGATTCATTTTGTTGTTGACCCACATGGTTGGTGCTGCATGGGTTTGATTGTCTTTGTCTGGTTGTACAATATTATTTTAATTCCCAAAATTGTCCTCTTTCCACACTATGAAGAAGGGCATATTCCTGGCATACTAATAATAAGTAAGTTTCTAGATCTTTGTTTCCTTAAGATTTGTCTCATTGTGAATATTTTTGAAATGTAATACTCTTTCCATGATAACCTTCCTTTTAATGTACTTATTATTTTAGTAGTATCAATACTGTCATTTACTCACCTATGGAAGTTTAAAAAAATAACTTTTGTCTGTAAAGTTAGTTAAAAATGCTCTTTCCATATTCATCTAGTTCTACAAAATATATAAAGACCATTTGCCAAAGAAAAAACTGATATAGTAGTGACAGTTTATGTATATGATTTTAATGTTTCTTTTTAAATTTAATTGCCAATTTGAAGCTGTCAGAATGGAGATGGAGGCTGGTGAGATGGTTCAGTGGTCTAAAGCACCTACTTAGAACAAGCTAAGCCAAGCAAAGAACAGGGACCTCGGTTCAATCCCCCAGCACCACATGCCAGCCCGCCCGCCCCCTGGTGGGCTGAGCTGGCCACACATTAAATAAATAAATAAATAAATGTTTAAAAAAAAAAAGAATGGAGATGGTTGGTATATGTTGCTAGTAAATGTGATTTCATGATGTGAAAATCATTAATTATTAAAGCACTTTAAACTTCTGGGTAATTATTTTTGCTGTAGTCCATTCACAATGGCTTATGATTTTAGAAAATTGCATCCAGATGATATATGTACGTAGCATTTACACTTCTCATATACTTTACCTCATTTTGGTCTCACAAGAGCTATGGGAAGTATTATCTTTGTTTTAAAAATGATAAAACTCAGATTAAAGTACCTGCAAGCAGGTGCAGGGGCTGGGGTTCGATCCCCCAGCCTGCCATGCCAGCCCCGGCCCTGGGGTGTGCTGAGACTGTGATTGAGACTGGGCGTGGTGGCGTGCGCCTGTAATCCCAGCACTTGGGAGGCTGCAATCACTATGAGTCTGTAGACCCTTCCCTAAAATACAGAAAAAAAAATTTTTTAAAAATGGTAAAACTGATCAGTCTGTGCAGTCATTTCTGAAGTAAACACTGTTCCTTTTATAATGTCTTATTTTTTATTCCTCAATAAAATACCTCTTTAAGTGTAAAATTATGGTGACTGAATTTATTTTTTCTCACTGATATTTCTTCTGCTTATTTTAAAGCTCAAAAGTTTTTTTATTCTAAAGATTCTTAAGATACATCAATAGGCAATTAAATGTCATTAATTCTGAGTAATTTTGAAAATCAAGTTAATGAAAAGGTTTATGTGCAGAATATTTTATCAGTACTATCTTAATCCTTTCAATTGTAATACATGTAACTAAAAGGGAACCCATTCATTTATACCATTGTTGATAGAGAATCACTGTAAATAACCTGATTTGTAGCAAGCTTGTCAGTTATTATTCTATAAAGTAATATTCAAAATTGGAACATTTAATAGTTTTCTCAATAGTACTTTTAGGTAAGTGAAATTGAATTTTTTTAAAATTAGTTACCCTGGGGCCGGGGAGATGGCTCAGTGGAATAAGCGCTTCCCTGGCAAGCACAAGGGCCTGAGTTCAAT